CAAAACCAGCCCTCAACCAAAACCCAAACCTGGCTCACTCACTGTTCCTGTCTCTTAGCGCTGCTGCTGGATCTCGTGCTGGTGGCAGTGGTGAAGGGGCTCGTCAAGCGGCGGCGGCCCACCCACAACAAGATGGACATGTTCGTCACCATCTCGGTGGACAAGTACTCCTTTCCATCGGGCCACGCCACCAGAGCCGCCCTGGTCTGCCGCTTCGTTCTGCACCACTTGGTGCTCGCCGTCCCGCTGCGGGTCCTCGTGGTGCTCTGGGCTCTCATCGTTGGCGTTTCCAGGGTCATGCTGGGCAGGCACAACGTGACGGACGTGCTCTTCGGTTTGCTGCTGGGCTACACGCTGTACAGCGTGGTGGAGTACTGCTGGCTGTCCCCGCTCAACGCGCCTGCCCTCTTTGCGCTCTGGAGCCATTGATGGCTACGTCTCTCCCAAAGGAGGAGGCACGCACCTGGTTGTCTAAGCACGCACAGGGAGGGGATACTGGGACCTGAACTCACATCCTAGGCCCCATCCATCCAGCCAAGACTTCAACACTAGGGGTGCCGCAGGCTCCTGGGCCCACACTTAGATGTTTGGTGCTGTCTTGCCCTTCTGATGGGCTGTCAGGCAGGGTGTGTGTTGGCCAAGCAGCTGCACTGACTGTTCTCCCATGAAAAAGCCAGTCCCTGCAGAGCCCGGGGAGGACGCAGCACATTCATCCGGCAGCTCACTGGTGATACTGTGAATCTGCATGCCCTTGCTGGGCACCTGCTGTGTTAGCCCATGGTGTATGTGTTTGCGGAGATTTCTCTGTGATCGCCCATGTATCTGTGTGCTGTAAATACACTGATTGTGTTGCTGTCATGAGCATGTCCTGCACAGCCTGCTCCATAGCATCTGCCTGGAGCGGACTCACTGGGGTCCGTCCCCAGGTTTATAAAGAGCTCTGCCTTCCTAAGCAATGTGCCTCTTCCCTATTGCTCTTGATTTAAGTACTGCACTGAGGCCTGATCTTAAGCAACAAGGACACAGGCATCTGGCTCCCAGTGCCATGGGGAAAGAACAGTGTGACCAAGGGTTTGCTCCATCTGTGCCATCTCCAAGGCAGCAGGTAACAGGGGAAGCAGCCTGCTCCTGAAGCCCTTGTGCAGAGCTTCACAGCTCTTTTTCCCCTCCACAGGATTTTCAGCCTCCCAGGGGGTGCAGCAAGTTCACAGCTATTCCTGTTTGTCAGCACATTACCAGCATTGCTGGCAGCATGCTGCAGAGCAAGCCCCTTTCCCATAGCCCAGGCAAGCAACACCCTCACCCAGGCTGCCAGGCAGCCCCAGAAACCAAGCCTTACCTGCACTTCTCACTGCAAGGGGCCCTGGCTCTGCCAAGCACCACCACAGCAGCTCTCCTGCCCTGGCAGCCTTTTATCCTAGAGGATTGCTTGTCCTTGGCAGGAGGGGACCATGAGGAGCCTCTGTAACAAGATGGGGGGCTGAGTTTGAGCCAGAAAAAGCACAGAATCCACATCAAAAGGGACCACAGCCAGGCAGAGCACAAGGCCCCTGGACTGAGCTTAAATAGTGCTCCCAGCATGTGGGTGGGAGCGATTTGGTCCAGGTGAGGCTCATTGTGGCCATTCAGGTCTATCAGTGCACTCAGAGCCCTGGAAAGCACAGATCAAGTAATGTTAAAACCAGGCAAGTGTGCTGTTCCTCTGGGTGAAGTGTGCAGGAGGAGTCTGAAGGCTGCTGGTGCAAGCACCCTGTCTCTGTAACCCACCAGTTGCACATGTGCTGAAATGAAAGCACTTGACATGACAAGGTTCCCTCAGAGCTGAGCGACAACTTACTGGCACCGTGAGCTGGTGAAGCTACCAGCTGTGGGTTTGCACTCCAGTCGGGCTCGTACAGTGACCCAAAAATCCCAAATCCTCTGGGTTGGACTGCATGCCTGGCAGCTGGCTGGGCTGGTCCAGCACGTGCACGGCAGCATCCAGACACCCCAGCCAGCCCTCCTGCCCCAAAGATCCCTGCAGGATCACGGGCACACTCTGATGTGATCCAGGTTTGGGGTGATCAGGGCTTGTGGAGCTGTGCCAAAAGATCTTAGCTCCGCTTTTTCCCAGACACAGGGCGCTTTTCATCCAAGTGGTTCTTTCAGCCATTGAGGTCTTCCTCTCTGGGCCGTGGAGGAGTACAGCAGCAGCTCCGTGCATCTGTGGCTTGTTCCCACATGCGAGTGCATGCCAAAAGTTGTTCCTGGCTCTCCTGAAGAACCCTCTGCAAGCTGCTCAGTGGCATCTGCTATCACCCCACAGCCACTGGTGCACAGCCCTGCTGAGTCACAGGCTGCCCTGTTGCCTTCTCACCTCTGCTCTGCTTCTCACCTCTGCTCAGTGAGATCTTTGGTCTCCTCTTGTGCTTGTCACTTGTCACTGCTCCTCTAAGCACGGGTGCCAGCCCTCTGATAGGAAGGAGGACAGAAGTGCTTTCTGCTTGGCTTGTCCCACGGCATCTCTGCCCATTACCAAAGCCCAGAGTGGACATGCCGGTGCACGCTGCCCACCATGCTGTCTGTCCTGTGTGCTCGCTGGGCACAGAGGACTGTGGCTTTCCCACAGACATCACCAAGCCAGTCTTGACCAAAATACCATGGCCTGACCCTGGTGCTCTCCAGTAGTCCCCTGTGCCTGACAGCGTTGTTTGGCTGGGCCACAAGCCTGAGCATGGCAGGGGCAAAGTCCAGGGCTGTGCAGCCTCTTGTAGCTGCCAAGGGAGAAGGGCGAACTTGAAAGCAGCCTGCACACAGGTTTCATAGCTCAGCGGTGGCGTCGAGAGCTGGGGGAAGTCTCCTGTACCTGTCACCCGTGGGCAGTCCCTGCAGAGCTTGCAAAAGAGCAAGAAGCCAGCTGAGAGCGGAGCAGAGAGGGCAGCGCTTCCAGTGCTGCCTCTTCGCCGTCCCTGTGCCGATCCCCTGCCCGGTAAGTGACGTTTTCAATGCTTTTTGACAGGCTGGCACGAGTGTGGGTTGGCAGCCTGGCACCTCTGCCCTGGGCAGAGATCAGCCCTCATCAACAGCAAGGGACAGAAAGAGCTTTATTACATTTACTGCAAACATACTATGAGTTTTAGAGGGTTAAAACCATTCCAGCCGCAGAGCGTGGCCCCTCCATAGCCAGGTGCCTTGCTCAGCTCCCTGGACACCTGGGCTGCATCAAAAGAAGTGTGCCCAGCAGGTCGAGGGAGGAGATTCTCCCCTTCTACTCTATTCTCATGAAACCCCTCCTGGAATACTACCTCTGGGGCTCCCAACATAAGAAGGACATGGAGCTACTGGAGCGGGTCCAGAGGAGGGCCACGAAGATGATCCGAGGGCTGGAGCCCCTCTCCTATGGAGACAGGGGGAGAGAGTTGGGGCTGTTCAGCCTGGAGAAGAGAAGGCTCCGGGGTGATCTTATTACAGCCTTCCAGTACCTAAAGGGGGCCTACAGAAAAGCTGGAGAGGGACTTCTTACAAGGGCATGTAGTGACAGAACAAGGGGCAATGGCTTTAAATGGAAAGAGGGGAGATTTAGATTAGATCTAAGGAAAAAATTCTTCCCTCTGAGGGTGGTGAGGCACTGGCACAGGTTGCCCAGAGAAGCTGTGGATGCCCCATCCCTGGAAGTGTTCAAGGCCAGGCTGGATGAGGCTTTGAGCAAGCTGGTGTAGTGGAAGGTGTCCCTGCCCATGGCAGGGGGGTTGGAACTAGATGACCTTTAAGGTCCCTTCCAACCCAAACCACTCTATGACACGGAAGAGCAAATTTCCCCTGCACCTCCAGGGGCTGTTTGGTTGGGAGTGCGCCGGGAGCCAGCATTGTGCTCCCAAGCCAGCCAGCCTGTGCCTCGTGCCACCGGGGAGAGCCTTCTCCCAACCCACCCCACTGCCCTGGCACCAGTGACACCCCAGCAACGCAGTGCTCCTCGCACTGGAGTCCCACTGGCCCTGGGATTCGGATGGGCCAGGAGCGAACTGTGACTACGGGGATGCTGTGCCAACGTGCCCAGCCCAGGGGCACAGGGGATGTGGGCGATGCGGTGCTGGGTGCCACCAGAGCAGCTGGAGCCATATGTGCCCCAGGACACCAGCATGAACAGGGTTGGGCTGATCCTTCTAATCCCAGAGGTAAAAGTTCAGGGCAGTGTTTGTTTACCCGGCACACGTGCCACGGGCACCGGCTGCGTCTGCCGTTCCTACAGCCCTGTGTCCCCTTGGTGTCCCCACATGGGGGGTTCCCCGCAAGGCGCCTGGACGGCTCCTCACTCTGCCGTCCAATGCTGCGGTGAGAGCCGGAACAGCCG